AGCTACATTATAAAGTGATGTAAATAACTAAAAACAGGAACATGTCTGTTGGCTTATGCCATGAACTTAAAAGATGTTTAAAGCCATTTAACATTTTATTTTATTCATTTATTCATTCATTTAAAAGAAATAAAACTAATTAATCAAAAATAAAACATTGAATGAAAAGAGTGCAGAAAGAAGAAAAATCTTATATGTGCCCCTTATTTAAAAAATAAAAAAATAATAACTTTAAACAATCACTTAAATTAATCACTTTAATATCCACTTTAAAGCTAGGAATAAAAAGAAACATGTTTTGTGTTAGCAGAATTTAATTCTAACTTTAAAACTTATCCAACATTAATAACACTTACCTCAAGTGGACATGCATATATTTGTACAAATTTTACTTGAGAGGAGATTATTACAGCCTCATATAAAATCAATGATGATCATGATATTGATCATTCAGAACTGTTTCTATGTATCAGATCGGCATTGGATCGGTATCAACAGATGCTGAAGCAACGGGTATCGGTATCGGTTCGAAGTGGAAAAAGTGGATCGGTGCATTTCTAATTTCAAGTGTATAAATTAATGTGTTATGGTGTCTCAAAGTGGCTAATTTGCTTATTTTATGACCACCATTCTTACTTAGGGAACAAAAATTAGACCACCTTATTTATTGCTTAAAATACTACTTGATAATTTGTCCACAGTAAATCATTAAGAGTTTCCTCAGCCTGAAATAAAAATACCAAATTTAAAGTCTTTTCTTTTTATTCTAACTCTTTAAAGGCCTTTAGTTTAATTAGGGAAAAATAAACCCTCCACATTTCAATTTTTGAAAACATTGACAAAGTACCAGTATTTTCTTGGCAAAAAAAAAAAAAAAAAGAATTAAAAAGGAATATCTCTTCCTTTAGTATACCCAAAATGATTTTTGACAATTTTTTTCTATAGTCTGGGGTTTTGTGAAGACATTCCAGTTGACCAGACCCTTCAGATACAGTAGCTGAAAACAAAGATCATTGATCCAAAATTGAGTTGTTTTTTTGTAAATATTGTTTATTTATTTATTTACTTAATTAAACTCTACTTGTGCGCAACATGTAAATTTCAATGTAGCCCATTTCCCCCCCCAAGGAACACAAATGTGTAGTAAAGTTATTGTGAGGTTTTGATAGCATTTGAAAAATTCTGACTAAAATAGAAGGATTTTTAGTCTTTGTGAGAAAAATAAATTGTATTTGACTGCACCAAAATAAATAAACAAAACAAACAAACAATCAAAAAAAACAGGTGGCTGATTTTTCTCCAAAAATACAATACAAAAGGTTAATAATGAAAAAAATAAAATAACTGGAAAGCTTAAAGTTGAATATTACAGGTTAGAACTGGGACGTTTATGCAAAACATTTAAGGAATTGAAAGGAAACTATATTTGGTGAAACAGTTTTGATAAAACATCAATTCTTGAGCCTCAAAACTGATAGAAAAATGCATGTTTTAAAAAAAAAAACTCTTCTTTTTGCCCCCAAAATAAGTTACGGTAATTAAAAACGTACATAAACCCCACTGCAGAATAAACAAAAAAATTTAGACTTAAAATTTTACTAGAGTGGATTTAGGAACGAGCAAAGAGATGGAGAATAAAAGCTCACACTTGTAAATCATTTTTCAAACGCAGCATATTACCTGGAGCGAGAGTGGTTCCCCAGCTGGTACATGTGTGGGTTGTACTGAGCCATGATGGTGATGGTGTCACACTGCTGGCCGATGATGAGACGAGCTTGCTGCTCTGTAGCATTCCTCAAGTTAATACCGTTGTACTAATAAAAAAAGAAACGTATGGTTAGGGGGAGATTTTTAAAGGATATACAGTGTTGTTTAAAGAAGTGGGAGACTGAAGCAGTTTGTTAAAAGCTTTAAATGATTAGTAACTTGAAAAGAAGATGAGAGCTGACAGACAATTAGATTAAAAACTGGTTACGTAAAAGCACAATCAATTTCATTTTTATGTAAACTGCATTTACAACTCAACATGGATACAGTCAAATAAAATAAAATCAGAACAGCTAATATTCAACCTGGCTTATGGAAATAAATAAATAAAATTCTGTTTTCATGGCTGTATTGGTGAATATAGTTCTCACCTTAAAAGTTCTATTAACAGAGAATTGGCTGAGCTTACAAACAAAGTATATATTAGTAGTACGCATAGTATTTTTCCAGCTTACTAATATTTCACTGTGTTTTCTTTACACTTTGTCCTGCTTGAGGCTTTAATCTTTGACATTCAGTAGGTTGTTCATACCTCCAGTAATTGGTCTCCATACTCCAACCCCGCCTGGTGGGCGATGCTGCCTCCAGTAACTTTAGAGACAAAGATCCCTCCGTTCTCCCCGCTGACAATGGAGATGCCCAGGGGCTCTGCACCTTTGTGCACAATGACATTGCGTGGTTCCTCCAAGTATGGTCTGGTGGGAAAGAGAAATATGCATTAATGAGTAGCTTCACAGGAAAGCAGCTCCAGAATGCTACGCAAGAAATAGAGAAGGTAAAATGTGATGTGACTATCACTGCTGGGCTTATCAAAGAGTCACCTACTATCCAGGAATTTGCTAGAATCGCTGCTCGTTTGCTTAAAATATTAAAGAATAACAACAAAAAACCTATGATGTGTAAACATCCTCTCAATGTTGGCGGTGGCTTATTTCTTGCACATGTCACCTGATGCCTGGCTTACAGAAAATAAATAAATAAAAGCTTTGAAGTACAGAACACGGACAGCATGTGAACAGGGGGAAAAGAAAAACTCCTTCACATGATGAAGATTTGCCTGAACTTTGAGTGTCATCTTAACAAGGTGGTTTTGGACATGCCTTTCATATTCATTATGGCAAGTAAGAGGAAATGGGGTAGAGTGTGGGTGTACAGACAAGACTATGACCCAGAAGCTGCATGTTGAATAATACATTGCATAACATAGAGAGTGCAGACTAAAAGGTGACTTGGCTTAAGGCAAAAATGCACACATGCATACTGACGATGTACGGGGCGGCTCATGCACCGAGATTCAAGCGGGTCTTCCAACATGGAGGGATTTATGTGCAGCCACATAAATACCACTGAACCTTTACAAATAGCCAAGTGCAGCTAATTAAGGTTTGTCTGTGTCTTAAAGCAAAGACTACACTGCTGCATGCAAAGAAATATCTCCTAATTGAACGACGATCTTGAGGTAAGTTAAAAAAAAAACACACTACAAAACCTCTTTTTGCATTCCAGAGTACTCTGCTTCCCCAGAGGCTTCACAAACCTACCATCTCATCTGCACTAAAACATGTGAATGGTGTGAACTTGGGGGAAGAGTGGCGGCATTCCTCAGTTCGTAGCACTGTGAAAGAGGACAAACCTGAGGCTCCTGAGAGAGGAGAACCTCGGCCTTGCAGCCAGAGGAATCCTTAGAAAAGAGCGATTACGATAAAGAGATCTGGAAGTGGAGGGGTTGCAAAGATGTGGAAGAAGATAAAGAGAAGAATGGGGGACAGATACAGAAACAGTAAGAGTGTAAAACGCTTGAGATGTGTTAATAAAACATGGAGAGAAATGTAGGACAAACGGTTGACATATATTGTTAAATGGTAAATCTGTTTATCTGGGAACAGAAAGGAGCTACAACAAAATTAGTAAGTTATACAAGTTCCTATGAGGAATTACAAAGCTTATTACTATCAAATTGTCATTTTAAAAAGTATCAACAAGCAAATACAGTGTGTAACACAGACGAGCCCTCCCCCAACAGAGTGAACATGTAGTTCAGCTGGTGCTAACTATAAAACATGTTCTGCAAACTCTTCCTTTGATGATACCTGTCCTTCCTGCGCTCCCCTATGGGCACGGGACTGACTGAGATCCGAGGTAAGGTAGAAACTGAGCTTTGTGATTGGGTGCTGGCAAACGAGGAAGTCTCCAGATTGAGCGGCGACTGTGGAGGCGTGATGAGGCTGGGACTGCTACACTCGGAGTGCGAGAGGGAGCCTGGATTTAGGAAAGGACGAGCAGAAACAGACAAAGTGTGCAGTGTAAAAAATAATTTGAATATCACATCAACAATAACGATATCATGGAAACAGTGTGTATTAAACATAGCTTTTTGAAAACAAGAAATTTAATTAATAAAAAATACAAAATTACTTTATTTAAATAGGTTTTTTAATCAATACTTGATTAAAAATATTCAAGAACTTTCTGTTGTGACTTATTGCTTAAACCATTTTGTATGCTGTTTTAACAGTAAAAGCGTTACTCTGTGATATTCAAGGCAGAACACAAAATAATGTGTTTTTAACCATCACATGTTCACACTGCAGGTCTTAATGCTCAATTTCAATCCTTTGCTCGGAGTGAATCGTTTACAGTTCTGACCCGCATGCACAGAAGAAAACAAGGTGTCACATGCAGCACGTTGTGTTTAGGGAATTAAATTTAGATGCTACTCATGTTAGAATGTGTGATTCTGAAGTTGTTGTGCAACCAGAACTAATTAAATGATCTGGCATGCTGGTTTGGACCAGTGTTTACATTTAATCTTGCCTCTTGGCGGCTCCTTTGACGTAGCATTGTAATTTTGGAGCAGGAGCTACATAATGAAGGGAAAAAAACTCATATCAATCTCATCTCATTACCATAGTTTAGATACCGTCTAACAATAACATCTTCTCCGTCATACAGGACATGGTAAATTAAAAGAACAAAGATGAAGCAACTGGGTGTTTGTTCTATACTTGAAGATGATCCAAGATTTCATGTGAATGAGATTGGTCATATTATCAATACTTGGATATATACGCCTACCTCCCTCACATAAATGTCAGATAAAATGTGACGTGACCGTTCAGACTGCAGTCACTTTGAAAAACAGGTATGCATCAGATTCAGTTTCACAGATGATGAGGCCTGAGTCGCATTTGCCTGCAGTGTAAACACAGCCATAGGTACCCCAAGTAACCCCAAACTTTTGAACCACTTTGGCCATGACTGCCTCAATGAGTCAGAGGGGAAGCGGGTGGACTACAGAAACCACCTGAGCACCATCAAACTGGTTGACCCACTATGAGAAGGTGCTATTTATAAGACTGAGTTTGTTGCGGCTCCTTGGACCGATGAAGTCTTTTGGATGAAAAACGAAACATTTCAACAAAAAGAAACTGTCCGGAGGACCTGACTTAACTTTGTTGGATTTTTCTACCTGGATTACTGAAAAATGAATCAGGAAGATAGATACTTTTATTTTATGACAATGTAACCTGAGTACAATAGAAACTTAATTTCACTTTGTGACCATGTGGTATTGTGTGTGTTTCAAATACACAAATAGCCAGATGAAACCAGCTGAATAAACTTTGCGTCATCATTTTAGGACTCTTGGATTCTCATAGTCGTTATTCTTGGCCATTCCTCAGCATACCTCGAGAATGTTTATTGATCTCACCGGAGGACATTGACTGATTATTACATCTTCATCAGAACTCTTACAATGCCCTCGAGAGCATCTATGATCATGCTCATTGCTCTCGTCTCCCCCCTCTGCAGAATGTCTACGTCACTATGTGCTTATTTGTGCGAGGTGTTTTTCAATATCAGTTTTTTCTTCTCAGGCAGGAAAAAAAAAGTCTGATAGGAATTTTTTTGCCTCCAATTCCTACATGTGTCCAGTTTATCACCTTTATTGTCTGTCCAAACAGGTCTCACTTGTAAATGAGTCTTTGAGGCTCAATGTGACTTATCTGTTTAAATAAAGGTTGAATGAAAAAAAAAACCTGACACTTGAATTCATCACAGACTTTGCAACCTGTAGAGCAGGTTTTTGTTTCAGTTTCAGTTTTCATTAAATGGATTCAAAGTGACACTGACGCCTTGGTGGCCCTATCCAAGAAAGACCTTTATTTTTTAAGAAATTTTAAGTTCTTGTAGACTTTGTAATCCTGGACATGATCATTTTATTTTGATCAACTACATGTCATTTAGCTTGTTGTGAGTCGTTTACTTCCCTGGCCATCGTGTTGGATGTTACTGTCACATGTTTTGAGGTGTGAACAGATGTGAAACTGCCCGGGGAGGAGAGTCAAGGCTGCACTCTAGGTGTAGATGGATGAAACCTGAAGCCACCTCTTTTGTGTAGTGATGGTTTCTCCAGTTTAAAAGACAGCTTTCTACCATCCTCTCTCAAACTACCTGTTCTCTAGCCAGAATGTATATGTGACGATGCACAGGGAACACACCTCATCCTTGAGATGTGTACTTGAGGAACAAGGTCTTGTGTGTTTCTTTTGGAAAAAGCAGTGTGATTGTTTTCTACTTTCTGTTTCAAGATCTTGTTTCTATCAGATTATACAGTTAACTTGACAAGTTGCTTTAGGTATTCATAGATCTGAAGAGCTCTTTCTTTTCCCTCTCCCAAGTGGGGATATTTTCAGGCTGATGATGTAGATTTCTAATGAAGGCTAATTTGTGTTCAGTGCGTGCTGTGAGTCAAAGCACAGGTATTGGCCTACATAAATATATTTCTGGTATACCTATCTTTTGGGATTTCCATCCTTTCTATGACTATATGGCTGTGACTATTTCATTATCTCATATTTGACTATCTCAAATTCGCCTGGATGTTATGTGAACAAGACGCTCTGCTCCCCCTTCCCCAAGGACATGGACCTGATTCAGAGCTCTACCGAGCTGGCTGATAAACACTGCACCATCTCTTATCAGGACTATGGCTGTGTGTGTGGGGGGGTATCTGGACAGTGCTACTTCCCCTCAAATTCACCACCTTCGCTGGCCTCCCTCATGTGCCTGCTTTCTTCATGTGAAGACTGAACACAAAAGGTGATACTTAAAAACTCAGTTCATCGTATGTGACTGAAAAAAAGACCTTTCAGATGAGGTGAAAGGTCTTAAGGAACTAAAAATAAAAACTTGTTGCCGTCTAGAATTCAACTAGAACTGATATATTTTAAAGCACTGACTACTTCTAAAGCTCCAGTGTGAAAAACCAGAGCAAAAGGAATCTGCTCATTTGGTGAGTCTGTTTAATTCTAGTTTTTACTGTTAACACATTACCTCGGTCCGAACCCAGCATGGAGCGGAGATAACGGGGAGTGGAGGGGATTTTGATCCTCTCTGCGCGATACTGAACATTACTGGAAGAACCTGGACAGAGATGAGATCCAAGAATGAATTATTTGACACAATATTCCAAAATACATCGCCACATGGGGCCTTTGAGCCTTCTTATGTTCATGGGTGCATGAGTGTGAGACTGACCGAGCCGTGCACTGGAGGGCAGTGAGTTTGTACCGTGTGATGCTCTGCTGCTGCGTGATGAGGAGGAATCTGAGTAGTCATTTGGTCGCTTCTGCTGGCTCAGATCCAGGCTCAAGCGACCCTGGTGTTGTGGGCTGCACAAACATACAAAGTTATAACTGTGCATGCTACATTTATACTATTAACTAAGTGAATGCTTACTCTGAAGAGCCATTTATACTGAAGGAGTGAGCTACATCACTACACAACAATATGAAAGCACACCTGTAAACTTACAGATTCAGCCTTTGGGAAACAGTAATACATACAACAATGTTCAGTCAGGTCATCTGGACGGTTTCCTTTGTTGCTGAGACATTTCATCCTTCATCCAAAGGACCTCTTCAGTCTGAGAAGCCCACCAAACCAAACTGAATTCCACAAACAGCTCACTCCCAGAGTGGAAAACACCAGTTTGCTGGTGATAAGATGGCCTCCGGGGACCGCCCTCTGCCCCGCTAACTCCCCCAAGGCAGATCATGCCAAAGTGGTTCAAAACACCAAAGTTCATGCTCATTAATCCAGGTTTAAATTGGTTTGGTGGGCTCCTCTGACTGAAGAAGTCCTTCGGATAAAGGATGAAACATTTCAGCAACAACAAAAAAAAAAAAAAAACATATAGATGACCTGACTGATTATTGTTGGATTTATACCTAGATTAATGAGCACAAACTTTGGTATAGAAATACATAATTTTTGCATCTTTTAACAAGTCCACCAGGAGTAGAAAATAAAAAGCATTAATGTAAAACATCAATGACCATTTACAATAGTAGTCTGTACCACAGTGATCCTCAGACTTTTAACCTCAGACCTGATCAGCTATAAACAATAAGCAAGTGAAAGATACACTGTATGGTGATTGTGTACTGTGACAATCAATAAAAGGAATTCAATATATTATTAGTAAATAGTCAAGTTTATATGTACAGTATAATAAACCCTGCTGAATGCTACAGTAAAACAGTGTTGCAATAGATTTAATTGTTTAAGACTAAAAGTTCAAACTATTGATTAAAACTTGTTTGCATTTTCTTTTTGTAATATATTTTAAATAAGTAGTTAAAGTGGTTTTAAAGAAGTCATCTTGTGAACAACAGAATTTAGCTTAGCATCAAGCCATCTCATGAAAAGATAAAGTAGTGGATTGAAGACTTAAGGGCCCGACATACTCCATCCGAAGACGAACAGTCGACTTGCAGTCACGCGGTCACAGGATGTTCGTGTTCACACACAGCTTTCATAGTCTACAAGAAGACGCAGAGCGCCTGGAAGACCCCTCCCGCTGCAGTTTATGTCATCATTTTGTATATTGCTTTGTGTGTTACCTGTTGTTCTGTCAGTACAGCACTTTGGCCTTGTCGCTGTTTTAAGTGCTCTATAAATAAAATGGTATGGTATCACACAGGTTTCTTCCCACCAGAGTTTCCACTTGTCCCTGCATCCACCGTTTGACCACAAATCTATCACGAAGAGAGCGCCACACCTTTCCGCAGAAAAACTCCTCCATACACAATGTCTGCACGATCTTCATCCAGGAGTTTTTGGCCATTGGACTAATTTAGTGTGTTTGTTTAGTCGTGTGGCTAAATGTCCGAGCATATTTCCGCATTCACAAACATGCCATAAACTTGCGACCAATCGCTCAATATTTGGTGCGTACGCCTGTGAGAAAAAGTTTGACCAAGGCCTTGTGTCGAGAAGGAGCGAGCCAAGCTGCTCTGCAAACAAAATGAGGGAATTTTGGTCATGCAGCTGCTACAATGAGAGCCGATTTTGGCACTTCAGCTGGAGTATGTTGGGCCTATTAGCCATGAGGGCATCTTAATTCCTGCTCATTTAAAATGACCAACGTGAAGGTTGTTTCAAATGGTTGCTCTTACAGTTGAATAAAAATTTATGACACCTGTAAAAAAAATAAAATAAAAAGGGGGTAACCTGGTATGGGTGTGCTGGTGGCATATCTGGGATGCTACAGACGGACAGTTGCTGGTATGAACACGGTGACTGCGTACGGTATACACTGGATTCCTCATCACAGCCGTGACTGCAGGGCAAGGAGACAGTCCACGGTGGGCTGAATCTGACACAACACAAACGTTCATGTTAGAAAAAGAGATAACGCTGAGACTTGTACACGTAAAATTTTGAAGAACTCACTTGGAGGTAGGCTGCCACTGTAGTGTGTGGGGACAAAGCCAACGCTGTGTCTCTGAGAGCGGCTGGGGGAAGAACGCAGCATGTCCCTGGGCTCTGGTGAGTGCTCATCATTGGAGTAGCTCTGAGAAGAATCACAGACAAAAGAAAATGTCTAGAGAAAATAGTTTCGCAAATTTTGTAGATGCTTTATAAGAAAGAATTAAACATACTACAAAGCATAAATGAATATTTATCCACACTAGACTCCCCTGGGTGCTTCAAGGCCCAGTGAAGTAGTTGAACAGGTTGTCAAAAACCAAATTCTGACTCAGCTCCTAAACTGAGCAGCTGTACTGGTACTGTAACATCAATCACTCTGACACTCTGGCCAAGAGTCAAATCCCAGTGGCTTACCTCTGACAGGCAATGCATTCTATTACAAAATGGACACTTTGGCTGACAGAATCGTTTTTTAAAAATACTGCTATACATTTTTCCAATATGCAATTTGTTCTTTGTGTGAAAGGGAACTTAAAATAAAAACTACCGTGAACATTTTAAATTATAACTTTTTGAGGGGAAAAAGGATGTAGACTCCTTATCCGTGTTAAATTAACTCACCTGAAAAGTGGGAAAAGTGATGGTCTGGGGTGTCATCTTACGTCGAAGCGCAGGAGCAGATTTAGGGCGAGGCCTCTTCACCTCTGGCTCCTCCACTCTGGTACGGCCGATGTCCTCGTCGCACGACTTTCTTGAGGTCAGGACCTTTCCTTCCAGGAAATAGTGGTTTCCGTTCCTGTCTCGCTCTCGCTCACTCCTCTCTCTGCTCTCTCCTGCTGCCATAGAGATGGCAGACTCCCCTTTGCCATCAGAGGTGATTGTGCAGTCTGAAGCTGAGCTGCTTTGATGTTTGTGTTTGAATTTAAAGGAGTCACTGCGAGTGGGAGGGGTTGGAGGGGTTGGGGTGGGTGTAGAAGAGGAAGAGAGGGACTCCGTCTTTGAAGGCTGTGGGGAGTGAGAAGCTGCAGCAGCAGCAACAGCTGCAATCTGATTGGCTGCCATGTACTCCAACTTAGAGGAAGGTGTTTCAGGGCGTTTAAAGGTGTCTGGGTCAAAAATGGACTTTCTCTGCTTGGGTGATTTATAGATGGAGAGTGGGGTGACTGCTGTGACTGGACTGGCATTATCTGGTGCGACCATCATACCCCCTACCATCATTTTGGGCCACGTGCCCCCACTGTGCTTTTTCTCCAGTGTTGTTTCCACACTGTTGCAGTCCGAGGGCGAAACAGGCTCAAAAGGCAAAGAAGAAGGTCCCTTTACATATGAACAGCACTCTTGGAAAGCACTGGGCCCATAGCGGCCAGTCCCCAAGTCTGTCACTGGTCGAAGGCTAGTGGCATGAAGGGAACCTGTGGAGAACGGCTTGCTCAAGTCACCATACATCTCATCAGATTCACCTCTGACCTTCCTCCTCTCCCCAGAGATGCTGCTCGTGCTGGCACTCCCAACGTCAGGGCAGAAGATGTCGGTCTGTGTCGAGCTGTTGTGTTTGAGGTTGCGGCTGTTCCTGGAGTGCATCTCTGACATGCGCCCATTGGACTTCTCTGATGAATCGCGCAGACCCTCAAAGATGTTCTGGCCTGATGTGCTGTGAGGGAAAAACTATGGGGAGAAAAGATAAAAGACTAAATCTGATGAACAGCATTACATTTTGTAACGATAAATCAGAAAGCTTTAAAATATACTGGATAACTTGGCAACTAAAGCCACAAAACCACTATGTGGGGCACACAGGACAGACTCACCTTCATAAGAGAAAGACTCAGAGAGTCTCTACAGTTCCTCAACAGAGCCTCACACTCCGTCACAGACTTGTTATCAAGAGCAATTCCATTTATCTGCACGGAGACATAAGAAATAAGGACAAGCCATTCAACACAGCAGCAACGCACCAGGGTTGTTTTTGATATGCTTCTGGCACGCGTGATGCACGTCTACAAGCGCACTTAGGTGTTAGAGCACCAGTAGCTTGAGATGTCACATATCTATGTCACATATAGACCGCCACCTTTCAGACTGAAGTACACTCACACTGCAATCCAACTCTTTTTACCATAAAAAGGCTCTGCTTATAATAAATCCTTTTTTAAAGAAACATTAAAGTGGAAAGCAAATATTAATGCTAACATTTTACATTAACAGATTATAATAAGCCTTTACTTGAACTTAAAAAAATAAACACTTTTGCATGTGAACAGTAGAAATTGTTGCTGTTCTTTAGTGGTGTGTCTTGTACATTACAGTTTTATTTAAACACACTGACTCTCTTTTACAAAGCATTTAGCATTTATGAATAAAATGTGATTTACTATTGTGATTGGCATGTACAAGATATTAAGCATCACATTCACTCATTACTATCAACTATAGTTACAACAAATCTATCATTTGCAATTCACTTAAAACTGGGGAGGATGGATGGAGTGCCGTTTTAAAGGAATTAGATGAAATTCTTAAGAAAACTGAAAGTTCTGTTGGTAATGACAAATCAGTATTACAGCCACGGTCATTTTTTTAATCCCTTCAAGATATTTCTCACTTATCTCTTTCAGGTTAACAGAGACAAATCCACCTAGGCCTGTAGAGCAGCAAACTTTCAAAGATTAAAGAAAAAGGTGAAAATGTTTCTTCTTCCACTTCACAAACTCAACTAACTCTAAACTTTTCTGGGTTTAGAGTGTGGCTGTTTAAATGAATTTAAAAAGGAACCTGTGCAAACTGCAAAATGCAAGATGTGGAAAACAGAAGAGCAAAACAAGGTTGAGAATGACTCACAGCAATCAGTCGATCTCCGACTGTGAGGGAGCCTTCCTTGGCTGCAGGACTCCCCTGGACAATGGCAGTAACAAACACTCCACTTTCCAGACCAATGCCACTGTCTGACATACAAAGAAGAAAATTAAGTTATAAAGAGTCAAACAGCACAGGAAAACAAATCTAGGTGAATATAAACTCTAATGGACCTTTATGTCCCATAAGGTTAATGTGAACAGGAGTAGCCAGTCGTCCTCCCAGAGATTTCCGTCTTCGTACCACCATGTTGATCAACCCTCCTCCGTTAAGGACAGCCTTCACTACCTGCTTTCTGTCCTTATTGGTCAAGTCCATGTCATTAATCTTCAACAACCAGTCATTCACTCTGAAATCAAAAAGGAAGTCGCAATAATTCAACAGAGATCTAAACCTCCTCACAGAAAAAAAATAACTAGTTTATTCAGATAGTTCATACCTTAACCTTCCATCTGCTATACTTCCTTTATCCACTCTTGTAACAAATATTCCACTGTCTCCTGGTAAATATGGATCATTTACCCCCTCTGCAATATCGAAGCCAAGTGCCTTCAAATCCATGTCATCCTTTGAAGAGAGTAACAAAGTCAGCTCATTCTGAAAACGTTAGTTTCATTAGGTTCTACGTGTCCAGAGAACTCTTCTGGCCTTGTTGACTCAAAACACATCAGTGCGTCACCCTGAGTCGACTTCTTACCCTGTCTTTCTCAAACTCCACCACCTCTGTCTCCCACTCCAGGGAGTCTGTGTCAATGGCCGAGTCATGAGAGCTGTGGGCCATCAGCTGACAGAACCGGGCCTCCTTTTCGAGCTGGTTCTCCATCTTTTCCCTAAACGTAAAACAGAGCCCAAGGTCGTTCAGTCACACACATTCAGTCTGTTGTTTATGCAAACAAATTCAAGAAGTGCACAGCATTATAACTTTTTTAAAAGTTTTAAAGTTCTCCAACAGTCATCCAGTTTTATGGACTGGAAACTAAACTCTGAAGACAGTTAAAAGTAGATTGCACACAATGTCATGCTGCCAGGAAAATATAGAATGTCCTACTAAGGCCTGTCTACAGGGCAGCACTGACATTCAAAACCCAGAAGGTACAATGTTCTTTAGAGAGGACAAAGGATGAAAATATGCATACAGAAGGTGTATTAAACCCCAATAAAGAAAAACAGATGACCATTTTAAATAGGACACAAGACAAGTTTCATAAAACCTACTGGTTATAGTTAGGTAACACTAACATACAGGTGTCTAAAGTCCAGCCCTGAAAGTAAACACCAACCAACCTTCAAATAGAAATAGTTGTCATATACACTTTCCCCAGCAGATGGAGCTGTTATACTCAAAATAAAGGTACACACATACCAAGAATTAGAGATAGTGAGAGATAATGTTTATATGTGCTCAAAACACTAATGCTTTCCGGGATTAAACTTTAATCTGGGTAAAAAAAAAAAAGCTCCATAATAACGGAGTATGAGAGCCAAGTGCAGCACAGTGTGATTGGTATGCAGCAAATGAGTGTATCCTGGTGGATGTTTTGCCCTATTTGTATGTGTCCCTAACAAGAATAAAAATAAAAAAAATAAAAAGTTGTACTACGTAGGTACTGACTTTAGTTCTTTGAGTTCTCGCAGCGCGTCGTTCTTCTGTTTCCTCATATCATCCAAGTTACGCAGAGCATCAGCCAGATCGCTGACTGCCCGGTCCCGTTCACGCCGCAAGTTATCACACAGAGTCCTGGGGAGGGACAGAAAACAGATGGTGAGGCAGTGTTTGTATATAAAAAAAGTGCTATGTATACTGAAATGAGGATGTAAAAGCCTGTAGTGCACCACTGTGTGCACTACTGAGCTCTATCACCTTTTCGTTAAACAAAACAAAACAAAAAAACAGACTGACCTTATGCTCTCCCTCTCCGCTACTATTTTGTCCCTCTCTTGGAAGGCCCAGTCCCTTCGACATTTGGCCACCTCTGCTTCCTGCGAGGCCTCCTTCAGCTCCTGTGACATGGCCTCATACTGCTTCCTCAGCACCTCGATCTCCTTATTAGCTCGTTCCATGTCCAGGGTAGCAGAGTCTTGTTTCTAAGGACATTAATTAAATATGAATAAAAAATTGATACTGCGGTCTCCTAATTTATATTCTACAGTTACCGGTAATATAGTTTTTATGGGTGTTTAGGGATTGACAATAAATGATGAGACAATCATGAAAGTACAAGTTCCTAATTTTTTTATGCTGCCAAGTGTTGAAAAAAATGGCAACACAAGAAAAATCAGGACTCTAATTTTTTCGTTGTATTCAAATAAGAGCTGTCCTTTGTGAAGTCCATTATTCTCGTGTCTGTAAATCATCTCTGGCATAACAATTAATAAGCTGCCACCCTGACTCATAAATCCTTGCAGCTCAGTGGTTACCATCCAGTGTGATAAATTAGAACGGTGAGTTATTATGAGGAAACAGTGCAGTATTAATGTTTCTGAGTGCCTACGACTTCTTTAGTTACCAACAATGCTTTTTGCATTTTCTGAACGGACAGTGGCAATGTGCATCTGTACAACCACACAAGGAGTCATTTTATCTACAAATGAATCATCAGGATATCTTAAGTTCTCAAACTGATCCCATCAGTGGTTGTTGAAACACTACTTGTGATTTTCTCTAAGCAGACGATGTGCGGGTTTCCAAATAAGCTTGGTAAGTGCTTGGCAACCCTAGTAAGGAGTGTGATTCATATGCTGTGACAGAAATATTAAATGTGGTAGGCAAAGTAGCAGACCATAAAGATATCAACAGATGCTTTTAGTGATTTTATAGGAGAGCAGTTCATCATTACTTGTCTGGCCTGATAGTATTCTCGGAGAAGCTGATCTCTCTGAATGATGGCCTCTGTCCTCTCCTTTCGGGCCACGTCCCTCTCCTCCCGGACCATCTCGATGTCTTTGCAGGCCTGGCTCAGCTCCTTTTGGGCCTCTGCTTTGTCCTTCACTTCGTGGCAGTACTTTTCCAGTAGCTCGTTCCTCTCACAGATGGCTCTGTCACGGTCCACCAGCGATGAGTTCAACTCCTGTCCCAGAACAAAATGTTAACATGAAATAGGGACTAACCCAACACCAAGTTGTTTATGGGATGTGAAAAATCATATTAGGGCTCTTGCAAATATTTTACAAATAGGAGTATTTCTAGGATATTTTGTAAAACGAACAAGGTGGAAAAATATTTAATCAACAAAGTGATTAAAAAAATCCCGAGATGACAGCTTGAAGTGATGAGCAGACAAACATTGCTAAAATCATTAGATAATACAGATTAAGATCTATAGGTGTGAAGGATACAGTAAAAGTTTAAATTATTATTTAAATGTGGTTTGCTTAAAAAAAATAAAATAATAAAAAAAAGCAAAACTTGGGCTGAACATTTTAAAATAGTCTTGAGAATTATTTCTTCTGAAGGCTTTGTGGGGGGTCTTTCAAAGTAAAGGGATAATTTATTTAAAAAAAAATGTGTGGATAAAAAAAGACAAAAACAACAGATTGTGGTTAGATGATAGATATCAGCCACAAAAAAAAAAACTAGACTTCAGATTTTACACTTGTATAGTAAACACAGCTACTGCCACAACTTGAACTCAATGCAAGTTGCAATTCTACAGAAAATGTATGAATTATCACTGGATACATAGTAGATCTATGAATATTAATGATACTGTCAGCATGTCTGAGGAAAATTTATTTGATATTTACTTAAAGAACAAACAATAAAAATTGATAGACAATTGTATATGCTATGCAATTTACTTTATTTCAGTCAGAGTTTTAAGTAATAGATTACAGAATAAATTATGCTTTATATTGTAACATGAGATATTTACACTGAGAGAGTTTTTAAACTTTTAATTTAATAAGTACGGGTAACATACACAAATATGTACAGTATTTTTTTTCTGAACAAAGCCAGTAAAAAAAATAATAATAAAAATAGAGTAGCCTATTAGGAAGTCAGTGATCACCATCTTCATGAAGAAACAAAGTTTCCCCCCTTCCCACTGTGACCTGTTCAGTAATTTCATTGGTCAGATTTTACTTTATTTTTTAACCTTTATTTATACAGGTAGTCTCATTGAGGACCCATCCACAAGAGACGTGAGTGCCCGGGTGTGACGAGGCTAAAATGTTTTGGTGGCATGAAGCTTGTTAGCCCATCAAAAAATAATTTAAAAAAAATCCATAAATTACCTGCAGCATTGTATAAAGCGCAGTGTTCAAAGCGTGTGAATAAAGTAGCAGCTTATAGTCCAGAAATCACAGTAAAGATACTCTGAAACTTAGTGCGCACAGAAACCTCTCTGGATATTATGAGGTAAAACAGATATCTCAGGTGAAGCTGTGTGCATTCACACAAGTCTTAAGTCTGATACCTGTTTGAGTGCCTCCAGCTCCTCACTGGCCACAACCCTCTCTGATGAAGTGTTCTTCAGCCGAGCTTCAGCTGCCTCCAGCTCAGTCTGCAGCTTATCCAACTCCTTGATCACCTGGTCCCTCTCGCTCATGATGAGACGGTACTCGTTGAACACGGAGTCCCTCTCCTCCTTGTACTTCTCGCAGTCCTTGGCCGCCTTCAGCTGCAGGTTCTTGTAGCGTGTCACTTCCGACTGCAGCCGCTCCATATCTCTCTGCAGCTCCTTGTTCTGAGCAGAGGACTTGTTCAGCTCCTGCTGCACTGAATCAAACCTGAGAAAGGAGAGGCTAGCAGTGAGCTTTAAAGGGACAAAATCTTTCAGATGCTCATATAAACGTATCTACGATGAATACTGTCTGTCCATAATTTAATATACAAGCTGTTATTGTGTCGTTACCTCATTTCAGGTGCTTGAATCAAACACAAGATTTCAGCTTCAACCAAAATATTAACTACATCATCCCAATGTGTGTGCTGGTGTGATTATGCCCTCACCTCCTTATTGAGGTGGAGTACTGCTGCTGGTAGTGCATGGCCGAGTCTCGCTGTTTGAGCAATGCATCCATCTGCTTCTGCAACCTTCGGTTCTCTTCCTCCGCCTGCTCCAGGCGGCTCAGGTCAGTGTTATGACTGGCCACCTTCTCGCTGTAGCGTTTGCTCAGGGCATCATAGTCCTTCTTCACAGCTTCCAGTTTGTCCATAGTTGTTTCATACAGCTTATTTAACACCTCTGATGAGCCCTTTTCTCTCATTACCTAATGAGGACAACAAAAGTCACATGATACAACACCCCAGAGTTTTAAGTAATGTTAGCCCACATTTGCTGTACCCTTTCTTAGCAGCAGATGGTGATAATGTACAGAAAATGTTTATCTTTTACAGTGCAAAGAATAAAAATAAATAAATAAATCTAGTGCCAGTTAACTATGGCTTTTATCATTTGAAGTACACTTCTTGACTCGCAGTAATTTTCCTAAATAAAACCTAATACCTGCATATAAAATAACATGTTTACATACAGCATTCATCCTTCAGACTCCATTATTCATTCTCAATGAGAATCCATTTCTCCTGCTCACCTTGCTGATACAGTCTTCCTGATTTCTCAAGAGAACTGCTGTGACCCGAGGCTTGTATTGACCTCATTGATATAACATATAGCTGACAGACTGACCTTGTAGCTACATGATTTGGGTCAATGTGCCCTTTGCCAAAGCCAAGCCCTTTTCTTTTGTGCTTGCCCTTTTCAGAAATGCACTGTATGCATCTCCCTCTGTTTTGCTGCCCTGTGCTTAAAACTAAAGCAGAGTCCCCATGGGTGCTGCAGGAGACAAAACTTCGCTGTAATAAAACACCAGTTATAATCTCCTTATACTGTTTAGCGCAAAGTTTTCACAGCACAGAACATGAAAGGTAATCTTTTTGACATTGTGTGAAGTGGAAACTAGCAAAATAAGAAAACAAAAATCAGTGAAAGTGGCTTCATGTTGTGTGTGTAATAACGATATAAAGCTGCAGCAAATAATGATGAATCCATTACGTGAGCGGTGTATACCTGCTGTTGCTGCAATTGAAGGTCAGCCAGCTCTTTTTGGTCTTGACTGTGTAGTCGTTTGAGCTCCTCGCAGTTCTGTTTTAGGTGGTTGTGTTCTCGAACCAGCTGGGAATTGTCCCTCCTGAGTGTTTCCATTTCCTCCTTCAGCTGAGTCTGGTCACCCAGTACACGGCTGTGCAGCATGCTAGGAGAGGTGGTCACAAATTAAAAGAAAAGTCAGAACTCACAATGCAAATACACCAGATGTTAATGGTTCTGCACCCCCCCAGCCCCCGCCTCCTGGGTCACAACTTACAGTTTGAGGACCGCCGCATTAAAGTGTCACCTTATCATTTTTATACCTTAGTTTTCAACTTATTCTAACATGCTACACTCAAACAGCTAATCTAGGATCTGTCTCTGTGCTCCAGAAATGTTGCCTCAGCTCACAAGCTATTACGCAAAATGATTTAATCACGTAAATGCCTTCATTTTCAAGCTTTTAAAACCGTACAGGTTTTCTGTGGTGTCCTTTCAATGTGAAAGCTGGCTGTGGCTTCAGGGATGTTCTTTCAATTAAGTTAATGGAAGCACCATGCCCGTATTTGTTAAACGCAGTAAAACAATGCAATAAAACTTAACTATTTCGATGCAGGACAGCAGCAGGTGGCATGTGACAGAATGTTCCATCCACATTTTTCAGTAATGAGTAAAGTCACGCAACCACCTCAGCTTCCATGTGCGGTCTAAAACACTACATGTGCTGCACAGACTAATAATGAATCAAGACCTCATGAAAATAACAGTAACACAGATATCAATCAATCAACCTTTATTTATACAGGTAAATCCCATTGAGCCTCGAGGACTGATTTAAAAGAGACCTGAAAGTTGTGATATAGGTATATATATAGATATAAGATACCTGAAGGAGAAATGCTTACTGGTAAAAGTCCGCCTCCTTTACAGCCTCCTCGCATCTCTTCAGTGTTTTGGTGTGTTGGTTCTGGAGAGACTGCAGATCTGCCATGGCCCTCATGCACTGACTTTTTAGACGCTCATAGTCATGGCTGACTTTGGGATTTGGCCTTAAGGAGAAAAACAGAAAGAGGTCAAAACTCTACTCAGTCTTGGCTGGGAACTCAGGAAATAAAAAGTCTGGATTATCTTGATACAAAATAATTTATAGGATATGATAAATATCTGATTAAACATTTTTAGAAACTAGGCAGAAATATAAGCAAACAGCTCATTCATTATACTTAGAAGTATAATGTTGCCATCCCAGACTTTTGTGTCAGATGTGGAGAGGAGAAGGGGACATTCTTCCATTGTGTCTGGAAATGCAATAAAGTTCAACAATTCTGGAGGGAGATTAAACAAGCTTTAGACTATACTAGGTATAAAATTAGATATTGACCCTAAACTGTTCATTCTAGGTTTATATCCTGATAGACATATGTCCAGAAAAATAATCACTGCAATGGATTTATGTTTACTACTTGCAAAAAGAGTCATAGCACTCTCATAAGAGTACCCCGTAAACCAAAATTCATTAACTGGATTAATGAAATGTCTAAAATATTACTTACATTATAAAGGGGGACATATCACTATTTCAAAGCATTTGGGGTCCTTTTATTGAATATATATAGAGTGCGGATTTGAGGGGTGGGGGGAGTGGGACAGATGAGGTGTAGTACCAGTGATCTTCTGCAGTGCCCTAAAATAATCACCATTCCTTGGATACAGGATTTCCTTATTCTGTGAATTGTACATTTGCGTTTATATTTTTTGGAACCATGCATAATAGTGAAATAATTGGGACTAACCCTTGAAAAATAGAGAAACCTTTGTTATTTTGATTGTTGCCTTTTCTTTTGCCTTTTTTTTCTTATTTTATACACTATACTTTCAACTAAGTGCTGCACTAAGATATTTCATAAATACCTGACTTGTAAGGAAAGACAAGTTGAATGTTGGACAATAATTTAGCTCTCCTTAATGTTTCCTTTGATGAGAGAGCACACTATTTCTGTATATTATTGGAAGCTTTTATTTTGGAAAACCTAATAAAGATAATGTTGGAAGAAGGAAAAAAAAAAGTTAATTTACTGCTAAAATGTAACAACTCCAAAACATTAAAACTTGGTAAAGCCCCTAGTTTCCGAGTTCACACTCTGCACAGTACTCAACATTATTATAGAAAGCAAGACATTAGCAGATGAGCAAGAACTGATGACAAATGAATAAAAATTACCCATCAAACTACGCAGTTTTTTTTTTTTTTTTTCATAAGGTGGTGCTTTTTATTTAGGGAAACAACAACAACAACATGTAATAAATACGGACAGTAACAAAAACAGCTTAGAGAACAGGCCAGGATTTGCACCTGCAGTCATCGAAGGTGGTCCCGGGCGATGCCAACGCCAGACGCTTCCGAAGCTCATCCCGCTCCCTGGTCACCTGGCGGAGCTGCAATAAGATGGTGTCCAGGTTGTCACTGGCGTGTCGGTTGTCGTTAATCGCTGGGGGAGGGGAGGATGCTTCACCATTAACAGGCGAACCTGCAACAAAGAGCTCATTACTGGAGGCTTGAGCTATCGGTCATATTACGCAAAACAATGCCCTAATGCAACACTAATCGTTCAAAAACAAACATTACAGCATCTGCCAGTCTGAGCACTGAAACTGATCTGACGTTTTCTTAGATGTTTTCTTTATGCCTTGTTTTTTGTGTATATTGTGAGAAATGCTATTATGTTTTGGAGAATTTTCCACTGTAGTAACAAGTTGATCCTGCTTTGTCTGGGGATTATATTCATCTTTGACTCAACTTTTGGACCCTAGAGTGGTTTATGCAACACAGCTGAGTCATCTGGATCTTTGTCAAAACGCGGGAAAGGCAAACATGGCAAACTTCCTTGAAGAATGAGGGAGATATTGGCAGAGTGTTATTGCACACAATGTGGGGCTTAAAGCACAAATAAATCCCTGACTTCCTGTCCTCTGTATCTCAGTTGGTGTAAACATCTTACAAACAGAAATCAGCCATGCTGACTTTACTTGTGTATTTAAGCAATGTTTGATGTTTGACCACTGGATTGGACATACCAACACTACTGAGAGAACTGCTGCTTTCCGAGTCAGATGGCATGGTGGACAGAACGCTGTACGTGGAACCTGTCAAGAGAAGAGATACAATCAGACGTACAGCACGGACAGAATGGCGAAGTGCTTATCCACAAGCCTGATGAATATTACACAGTCAGCTTCATATTACATGCACAGCAGTATGATAAATGTGGAGCAGGGTTTATACTTGGAATAAACCCTTTGAAACTCATTTTAGAAGCTCTGCATTATTACTTTAGTCTTTCGCAGTCGTTAAACCATCTTTCTCTCACTGTGCAATCTACCCTGCTTTGATGTATGGTCCCTGTATGTTTCTGCTACACAGGCAGAATGTCACGGCTGAAATGGGATTTTCCCTTTTTATGCTGCATGCATAGAGAAAGAAAATCACTGAATGTTAAGCTGGGGGGTATTTCGCCCAGGTTACCACAACTCATAGGAGACAGTGCAGATCTCAATTATACTGCAGAGTCCCCACTCCGAAGGAGAACAAAGACGGCAGACAAGACAAACAGAATTTTTTAAACACATATCTTTGACTTGTGTGTAGATAGAGGCTGAATGTACCAATTGCATAGTTGTTTTGTCTTAAAATTCTCTTTTTTATTTAAAGAGAAGTGGCAGTAGAGCTCGTTTCTACTCATATTTTGTTTCCATTAAAACACGTCCAAAAACGTGTCTGCTGACATATGCCAGAAAGTGCCACTTTACTGCAAAAAGTCCTCTTATAGTGGGCTTTTTTCAGTAAAATATACACAAAAAAATAATATATCTTGAGAAAACTAAAAAAAAAAAAAACTAAAAAAAAGCCTTGCCCATCTTTAAATCAATAACCAATATATGAATCACTGCTAGAATGGTACAGTGCATTTTCAAAATTTCTTAAAAAACAACAACCCTGTTTTACAATCTAATTTACATACTTTTGTTTGGAGCTGAGAACTGATTTTATTGTAACTATTTTTGTTAGTCAAGATATGTCTTATATATATATAAGATGAGCAGCAAAACGCAACTATTTCTTATCTCAGACCTCCAAAAATCTAAATGACCCTAACAGATTCTGGAAAACAATTAAATCTCTCTCAGGCACCCCCCAATCATCTGACCTCCCATCACAACTTCTCATTAACTCGGTTCCTGTGTCAAATAAGCACGAGATCCTGAACTGTTTCAACAAACATTTTGTTGCTTCTGGTTCTTTATTTGACACAGTAACTAATGGAAAATCAGCCACTTCACTTAATAACCAAACTTCTTCAAATCAAATCCCTCCTACAAGTCAATCCTCAGTTAATCACACCTTCTCTTTTTCTCCATTCTCAGTCAGTGAGGTCAATAAACTGTTAAAAGATCTTGATCCTAAAAAATCTGCAGGTCCAGATGAACTTCCACCTTATTTCTTAAGGCTGGCTGCTCATATCATCACAGTCCCTGTGACCCACATCTTCAATCTCTCCATAAGACAAAACTCCATCCCAGACACTTGGAAAACGGCCTTTGTTCTTCCTTTGCTGAAGGGAGGAGACCCCACCTCACTGAACAACTATCGACCAATCTCTAAACTCTGCATTTTAGCCAAGATTCTAGAAAAACTGATAAACTCTCAAATCAAAAATTACCTGGACTCATTTAACATCTTACCTCCACATCAATCTGGTTTCAGGAAAAAACACAGCACAACCACTGCTTCACTGAAGGTTCTTAATGACGTTGTTGAAGCACTGGATGCTAAGGATTATTGTGCTGCACTTTTCTTAGACCTGTCTAAAGCTTTTGACACTGTGGATCATAACATCTTGTGTCATAAACTCTCAGAAATCGGTTTCTCAGATCACACCATTGGTTGGTTCTCTAACTATCTTTCAGACCGGAGGCAATGTGTTCAACATAATGGTACTTCCTCCAGTTACTTAAGAGTCAACAATGGTGTACCACAAGGCTCAGTCTTAGGACCCACCCTCTTTACAATCTACATACATAATGTAGGTAAAAACATCCCTAATGCATCCATACATTTCTATGCTGACGACACAGTTGTTTATTGTCGAGCTAAAACAGTTGCCAAGGCTTTCCAGCTTTTGAAATCTGCATTTAACTACATCCAGACTGATTTGTTCCGCCTCAAACTTGTCCTAAATGCCGAAAAAACCAAAGGGATGCTTTTTTCAAATAGGAAGTTGGTCCCAGCAGTTCTTCCTCCGATTTTATCCTCAAAAGGTGTCCCCATTGAGTTTGTTGATTCCTATAAATATTTGGGTATCTTGGTCGACTCACATCTTTCTTTTAAGCTCCATGTGGAAAACTTGGTAAAGAAACTGAAAGTTAAACTGGGTTTCTTTTTCAGAAACAAATCCTGTCTAACCCTGAATGCTAGAAAACGCCTTGTATCTGTGACTTTCCTTCCCTCAATTGATTTTGGTGACATTATTTACATGAACGCTCCTACAAGAACCCTGCAGATGTTGGATGCTGTCTATCATGGTGCACTAAGATTCATAACTGGCTGTGATTATCGTACCCACCACTGCACCCTGTATTCATTGGTTAACTGGACATCATTAACTTCACGCAGACTCTCTCACTGGTACATTTTCATCTTTAAATCACTTCTTGGTCTGCTGCCTTCATACATCTCCTCCTACATGTCTCTGCGTGAGTGCAGCTACGGAGTGCGCTCTCAGGACATTATTACCTGCAGTGTTCCCTCAGTGAGGACTGAACTAGGCAAAAGGACCTTCTCCTACTCCGCTCCTGTTTCCTGGAATATCTTACAAAAAGATTTGAAGCTCTCAACCTTGACCTCTCTAAGTGGCTTTAAGAATCTGTTGGACTCCTGGCAGGGACCAATGCAGACATGTTCCTGTTTTTAGTTTTATACATTTGTCTTGGAATCTAGCTGTTTTTTTGTTTTGTTACCTTTTTCCTTTTAGCCATCCTATTTGTTAAAAAAAAAAAAAAAAAACTGTAGTATGAGTTTTTATAACTGCTTATTGTTGTTGCTGTTGTCCATTGTTGTCATCTTTCTTTGTTGAAATCAGGTCTCTCTTGTAAATGAGTCCTCGAGGCTCAATGGGATTTACCTGTATAAATAAAGGTTGATTGATGTCATGTCAAGAAACAAAACAAAAAAAAACATTTTGCACAATATATAAAAACCTTATCATGTAATATGTAAATATAAAGAGGGCTGCTTGGATTGCTACAACTTTATTCTATTCCAAGTGCCATTCATTCATGCTGTGCATGCCAAACATTGATTTGACCAACGCCCTTGTTGTCCACATTTGGACTTTAGTGTTTGAGATGCTAGAGCACACGGAAAAATTGTATAAATGTGGGATTATTGCAACTCATATTGTAATTGAAATAGTAAACAATATTACTGCAATTGCATAATTATTATATGGTGCAATCCTAATATTTACAATGTTTTAGATAGTTAGCATCTCAAACGATATTCTACCAACACTAATTAAATATAACAGCAAAAGCTCACCTTGGAGAAGTTCAAACAAGCAGTAAGTAAAAAAAGAAGAAGATTAAAATGTTATACAAATGCAACAATTTTCAGTCAGGTCATCTGGACAATTTCTTTTTTTTTGCTGAAACGTTTCACCTTCCATCCAGAAGG